GTTAGCACTGGAATGGAATATATAAATTTAAACATTATATTTCAAATGATCTAATCTATAGATAATCCTAACATCCTGTATAATGTTTGATTTTCCTGTAGTTTGGAAGGGTTCCCACCCCCCAACTATACGTGGGATTGCAAATAGTAAAAAACATCAACACATGGGGCTGGGGTTGTAACTCAGTGATAGAGTGCTTGCCTTGCATGTGTGAGATACTGGGTTCGATCCTCAGTACCATATAAAAATAAATAAAGATATTGTGTCCATCCGCAACTAAAAAAGTATCTAAAAAAACAAAAAAACAAAAACTTCAACACATTTTCTCCAAGTTTGGTCTTATGTACCTTTTTTTTTTTAACAGAAAAATACACCTTAATTCTATTGATTTTTGTCCTATATAATTTATGACAAACAACTGATTAAAAGAAATTTTTGAATTTGATATTCTGAGCCTAATATATTGTGTAAAGGGAAGAGACATAAAACACGTCTCCTCAAAGATATACACTCCTTAATGACCTCTTAGCTAACAGAAGCATTTATGTGTTGCAGATCTTCCAAGCATGAGGATAAGGACCTAGCACTTTGTCTAGTAGCCAGTAAGAGCTGCTATTTATTGGGTGACTTCTCTGGCTCAAGGACTTCTCCAACTTCTGTAAATGGTAGAAGAAAGTATCAGATCTTGTGATGATCTGATACATGAGTTAGCAGTGAAATGAAATTTTGTGACTTTTGTGACACTGAGGGCCTGCTAAACTGTTGGTTTAGCAGGCCCTCAGTGTCATCATCTTGCATCACATTTTAGTATCTGTCAATGGTTTCTGACTACCTCTTTAGCATTCCTTTTTACTATCCTTAGCCCTCTCATATATATTTCCTTTTTTGGAGGGCTCATGCAGGTCTTGACCGCTAGACTCTTGGAGGATTCTCCAACCTGCTTTGGTTTTATTCCATTTAGGTTGGCTATATAGTCTTCCAGCTCTGTTGTCTTATCATCATGATTAATATGATAACTATCTTAATATCCAATCTAGCTTTCTCCCCTGATTTACCTGTCTTTATGAATAGTCCTGATTTACCTGTCTTTATGAATAGTAGAATCATTCTCTTAATTATTCACACAGTGTTTTCTTTTTTATCCTCTCTAGGGTCAAACCAATCAGCAATTTACTGATTCATTCTTTGTTAAGTTTCTTATGCCCATCAGTCTATTTATTGATGTAGTTGTGGCTCAAGCTCTCACCACCTCATTCCCTGACCTGTCTCCTGACTGGTTTCCATCCTAGAAAATATCTTAAAACTGTATCTTAAAACTGTTTCAACCTTACTCTCTTTTGAAATAAAAGGCACCTCAGAGATTTTTATAAACTTCCTTGAACTCTAATTTCATACCCAAGAAACATTACTTTATGCATATCCCTCCAGATCAAAAGATCTCAACTCAACTTTATTTCCTGAAGTTAATAAAAAAAGTTATTAACAAAGAGCTGTTTGAAATTGTTACTACTTCTCATTACTTCTACAAAATAAAATCAACATTTGTTTACCTGTTACTTACCTGATAATCCAAATGTGTTCACAATTCATTTGTATCTTTCTACATTTTTATAGAAACTCTATTCAAGCCAAAATGTTTTTAGCATTTACTAACCATGCCATTTCACATCACTATAAATTTAGATAAACCTTAGAGATGCTTTCAAGTCCAGTCCAAAATTATTTCATGAGGCTTTCCTATTCTTTCTCAGTCTAGAATGATCTATATTACCACATACTTGGGTTGAATTTTTCCTGTGGCATTAATTTCATAATTAACAATGAAAAACGGTCTTTTTTTTCCTCCTATATATATCCGGCCCTCCCTCTCATCCTCCCTCCTTCCCTGCCTCCCTCCCTCCTAACCACCCACACTCACTTTCTCTCTTTCTTTCTTTCTTATTCTAGGGATTAAACCCAAGAGCCTTGACAACTGAACTACATTCCCAACCCTTTTTATTTTGAGACAGGGTCTTGCTAAGTTACTTAGTGCCTCACTCAGTTGGTGAGGCTGACCTTGAATTTCAAATCTTTTTGCCTCAGCTTTTTATTTTTGTACATATTTGTCTTTTATCTTCCCAACTAGATTATAAATTTCTTGAGATCTTATTTGGAGATTCTAGCAGAGGAGCACAGCTACTCATATACTCTTGACCAAAGAATGATCCTCCTTTATGGGGGAAGGTCATCTTCTTCGATAGTGCGTGCAACTTTGGAAGGGACACACATTGAGAAGTGAGGGAGGAAGAGGTCACCTGCCTAGCCAGCCAGATAAGCCAAATCAACTCTGGCCATCCACGGAGGTGACAGAAGACACAGCTAGATCGCCTTCACATCTTAGATTATAAATTCTTAAAGGCAAGGACCTTAACTTAAAAATATCAGCTTCCTTGCATGGTGTTCAGTAGAATATTTAAAGCATAATAGAGGCCCAATTTTTGTAATCTTACTTGCAGGAGTTGATGACCTTGAGAAACCACACAACTTTTTCTAAAGGAGTTGTTAATGGAAATCAGAAGATAGAAACAATTTAACAGGAGTTTAGAAAATCTCTTATAAAAATTCTAACATTTAAAAATTTACAGGGTAATAAATACCTATTTTGGTTTCTTTATTACCACTCTTGACTATTACTCTTCTGTAATTTACTATTAATGCAACAACAGAAAATAGGGAAAACAGGGAGTAAAAGTAATATAACCCACTGTTTATATATCTTCCCCCCTTTTTAAAAAGACAAGTAATCTTGAAATCATTGTTTGAATGGAAATACTTGGAATACTCTTCTTTGATCCAGGCTTCTTCCTGTTACCTATATCATTTATTCAAACATGAGAATTTCTGAAATCATGTTGACTTCTTGGCTGTCAGTCCCTTCCCTCAGCTTGTTTTAAAGGGAGTAGGTGTAGTAGAAGATGAAGGGCAGAATGCAATTCACAGATGTATTCAAACATACTTTTCATAGAAAAATGCATATTTCAACATATTAATATTCATAACCTTATTCAATGCCATCTGCTTTTTTGGACTCATTAGTAGTATTTTTGGCAATCTCCAACTAAAAACACACCTTTAAAAGGCATTGTCAAGTAGTTATTAAAGGTTTACTGATACAAAAAGTTTTTGAAAAGAGGGAAGAAATATTTAGGTTTTTTACTTTGACTATGCATGTCTTAATACTAATATGTAAATGTCCACATTTATGATTATCAAAACAAAAAATTTAAATTGAACCTACTCATAATTTTTGTTACAAGCAGAACAATTTATGATATAAACACAATCATAATACATACAAGTTTAATTTGGAGGTTTTTAACTAGGGGATTAGGGGGTCCAGGAGGTCTGTGAAATCCTAGAGAATTATACAGTACATATATGCTTTTTATTTTTTCATAGAGGATCACTCTCAAAGGCATCTGTTATTAATAAAGCTAACCAAATTAATCAGTAAACTTTAAAAACATTAATTTCATTGTTTTATTGACTATTTTATTGACTATTTTCAATAAAAACCATAAACCAGGCTCAAGAAATTTACTCCAAACTAAAGTAATACTCAATGAAATACAGCTAAAATACAGTTCATCATTTTCATACTATGGAAATATCCACCACATAACATTGTCAAATCTCCTGCTTTAGCTGCCTTGTTCAGTGGTTCAGTGTATTTCCATGACACTGAACATCAAATCGATTTAATCATTCAAGTAGCAGCAACAAAAGATAGGTAAATCCAATAAAAAGATTAAAATTTCTTATACTCGTGCTATGAGCTTTACTCATACTGTGTTATTTATAATAGACTTGAAGGTGGATATCATTTTCATTTTCATGCTATAAGTGAGGAAACTGAGGTCTCTGGGATGGTGACATGTCATCATCTTTTGAGGAACAGGCTGTGGTGTTTGTTAGCAAACTGAAGGAACAACAGGATGAGAGTGAGCTAGGGACACTTTTTAGGTGGTGGTCATGTAGAAGTCTTTCCCATTTAATACAAAAATCCTTTTACAGTAACTCTAACAAATAATGAAAGGAATCATATGTTTCAGAAGTTCCTAATCAATGTGAACTTGATTAACTACATAGAATCTTATGAAACCTGAAATCTTAGAAATTGTTATTCCTTAGAATTAATATGTAACTAAAAGTGTTTTTAAATATTCAAGTTTTAATAGTTCAGGTTAACTTAATTTTGTTTGTTTCATATTATGGATATAGAGGTTGAATATCTGTAAACTGAAAATCTGAAATGCTCCACAATCTGAAAATTCTTGAGTGCCAACATGATGACACAAGTAGAAAATTCCACACATGAATTCATGTCATGGGTTGGCATCAAAATGCAGGCACACTAGTTGCATTCTATAAAATTATTTCTAGGCTATATACATGAGGTATATATGAAATAGAAATGAACTTTATTTTCACTGAGGCCCCATTCTCAAGATATGTCATTATACATGTGTAAATATTCTAAAATATGAAAAAATCCAAAAATATGAAACACTCCTTGTCCTAAGCATTTGGAGTAAGGAATACTCAATGTGTATATGAAAATTCATAATTCCCATTCCTAATTATAGTAATTTCTAATTATTGTTTAGAAAAGTTTCAGTATATTTTCTTGTTTTGCATGTCATTCCTACAAAGAAGATCAAGTTCAAACTATTTTAAAAACACATAAGCCAAAAATTCCTCATTATCAAGGAAGTAACCATATGCCATACTGTACTTCAGAATAGGTATCTTTTAAATCTACAATAGTTCTAGAAAAAACTGAAGTTATTTGTTGTTATCCCACTTGAATCAAAATGGGAAATATGATATATTAAGAACTATGTAATGTTTTGAACGACCAACAATAAAAAAAATAAAAATAAAAATAAAAAAAAAACAAAGGAATAACATGACTAAGTCAGAAATAGGGAGGGAAATCTGAAAGGCAAAAACAATCTTACCAAAGTCTGCGAATGCTGACTGTCCAACTACCACCATATTTTGAGGTTTTGTAAGTATATTTTGGACAGAGAAGTTCCCACCCTGTAAAAGTCAGAAAACTTTGAATTAGATCATCATAATACACTCAACTGTCAAGGGTGAAACAAAGCATTTTAAATTAAAGCAGCGAAAAAAGCTAAGACTTCTGTCATATTACACTAAAATCAATCAACAATCTCCTGTCCACTTTTATCACTTATTACGAAACAAAAGAACCATTATAAGAAAGTATGAATCTGGATTACTTTTTTTTGCTATCAATTCTGGTATAATACCCTTTACCAAATAATCATCATAATTTCAAACATAATGAGTGTATTCTAATTTCAAGTACTGTGGAAGGCATTAAAAATATATATAAGCATAAAACTACCAGTTAGGAGACTGATGTAAGTCGGATAAAGAATTTCTAAAGGTAACATAGTGGTAGAAGGAAACAGGAAATTTTAAAATCTATTTTACAGAATTTATGGTAATAAAATTCAGTCAGGTATACTTAAGAAAAGCTGTTCAGATGAGAGAAGAATTCTATTGATCCATAATGGGCCAATCCAAGATCAACTTAAGTTTATGTAATAATGAAAAGTATTACAACGCCTGACATTGTACTATGCTGTCACCTATAGTAAACAGAACTCATTAGAGACCCTTTGTTTCAATAACTTTTTCCAAAATGAAATGGTACACATCTGACTTCCAAACATAATATGCATTAAAAATTGTTTCCTGGGGCTGGGGTTGTGACTCAGCAGTAGGTGCTTGCCTAGCACATGAGAGGCGCTGGGTACGATTCTCAGCACCACATACAAATAAATAAATAAATAAAATAAACTTATTGTGTCCAAATACAACTAAAAAAGAATATTTAAAAAATTATTTCCTTTCCGTTCTATTGTTTTGTTTTTAACAAAACATTCAATTTAGAATTCTGAGCTCCCCCCCCTTTTGTCCCCCCTGCCTTTAGGTACTAGGATTGAACTTTGGGGTGCTTTATTATGGAGCTACATCACCAGGCCTTTTTTTACTTTTATTTTCAAATTTTGAGACAGGATCTCACTAAGTTCTAGAGTCTGGCCTCAAATTTGCAATCCTGCTGCTTCAGCCTTCTGAGCTGCTTCAGTACCAAGGTGCCTGATTGAGCTCTTAATTTTATAAAGAGTTCTCTTACCACTAAAAATCTCCATTCACTGATATATTGACTCTGATTTCTAAATCATACATAGGATGTCTATATATTTGAAAGTTTTTCCTTTTTTATTCCTCTAAGGATATTATAAATCTGAAAGTCAGTTTGTTAAGAAATCATTTCTGACCTTTACAGAGAAAGATACTGGTATAATGAAAACATGAAAATCAAATGCTTGAGCAGAAGGAGTAAGATTTGTCCTGTGCCAGGCAATCTTCCAATTATTTTAAAACTCCATTATCAATACACAGAAACATGTTTATCCCACCTTTATCTAAATATCTACTATACTTTTAAAATGATTTTTCTGTAGACATTTTATTTACAGAGGTGTATAAACTTCAGGTTTCCTCTCTAGTCCTTACTACAGCCTAAGACTGCATTAGGGATATTGTGTTAAAGTTGCTAAATTTCTTTCTTTCTTTTTCTTTTTTTAGAGGGGGGAGAGAGAGGGAGGGAGGGAGGGAGAGAGAGATTTTTAAAAAATATTTATTTTTTAGTTTTCGGTGGACACAACATCTTTATTTTATTTTTATGTGGTGCTGAGGATCAAACCCAGAGCCCTGCACATGCCAGGTGAGCACGTTATCGTTTGAGCCACATCCCTAGCCCAAAAGTTGCTAAATTTCTGACTGGTGTATTAATTGCTCTTGCATTTTAGAAAGATCACAGCATTGTATACTGTGTGGATACAATATTTCTTGAAAGGCTGAAAACAACTCTCTTAAAAAATTAGCATTATATGAAATATGAATATCAATTGAATATATTGATAAGTGAATGAATTACTCTAGTGAAGGTCTGTGAAATTTTGTGAGTATATCCTCATGATTCATCTCTATTGAGAAACATTGACAATTATCTAGTAATAGGATCCTATGTCTAACATGCCATATTCGCAGTGAGCATTGATATAAGAAAAGCAATACTTGCTTCTAATTAATGGAGAAAGAGAACACATACTGTCCAAAGTTAAGTATATGCAGAACACATTATATATTGACATAGTTGGGGAAAAGACAATAATTTAATTTAGATGAATTTTCTATCACAACCACTATTTTTCTTCATTCCAGTTGCCAGTGAAAATGTATAACTGAATCCATCCAGATTAGTGTCAATTACTTATTTATTATTTGATGAAAATGATTTAATAAACTGTTTCATCCATATGTTATTGCCCTCATTAGATAACACATTTCAAAGTGGAGCATGACTGTACTTAATTTCAAAGATGAAACTGCCACAGCTATTTAATGTAGGAAGACAAACATGAGGTTTCTTTTTCATTCTGAACCTATATTGAAAACAGAATAATATGGTCGAAAGAACATTAGACTTGAGTTTAGATGATATGGGGTTCCAGTCTTGCTTTCATTGATATGATTGACATTTACTAAACTGTGTTTTGTTTCCTCATTATCAGAATGGGACATATGTGCTGTCTAATTGCAGGACTCTAGACAGGGCCAAATTAACAACAGAAAAGGAAGCATTAAAAAATATATCACACAACCGGAAGTTATTTTTATAATAGCAGTCCTATACTTATGATCTGACAGACATTTTTTTCACAGACTCACCTACTCTGTGGTTTGCCTCATTCTTTGCTATGGTGTTCCCACTGGCCTTTACTGCAGTCTAAAATTGGGCCAACTCACTAGCGGTTCTCCTAAAGCTATATCCTTATTTTTTTCTTTGGTCTATTTAGTTTCTGAAATTATTATGCAACAATTTCAGGATAGATGTTTTAGAGACACATTTCCTACTTCAACTCCTAGTTCTACTCCTTGTTTGACTTGAGGCCTGAAAAAGTTTATTCTTCTATAAGCATCAGTTGACTTAACTCCTCAATGTATTTTTACAAGTTTTCTCTCTACCATCTCAGGGGACAAATGAGATCATCCATCTAAAGTTGCTATCATACAAAATGTATTTAGTTAACATAAACTGATATTAGTAGTGGAAATATTCTGCTACCATAACTGCCACCACCACTGAAGAAGCTAACCCACTGCTGTTGATAAGGAACACATTCTGCCATTTTCAGCTTGCATTGCAACCATTAGTGCTACGCTGTAACAAGTATCCTTTTCATTGATGACTGTCAGTGTTCTGGCCTGAATATTTTAGCATTTAGTGTTAAAACTGCTATATTCATAATATTAAAAAATGATCAGGAAGCAAAATGTATTAACTACTATGTATCCCTATCTTTATTCACATAAAGCAGTGGTTCTCAACCAGTGTGATTTTACCCCCACCTCCCTCTCTGAAAAACATTTGTCAATGTCTGCAGATATTTTTTATTGTTACAACTGGGAAGGCTATTAACATCTAGTGCGTAGAGGCCAGGAATACTACCAGACAACCTACAATGTAAAGGCTACCTTTCCATGACAAAGTTGCAATAATGTCAAAGTTGAAAAATTCTGAACATAACAGATGTTAAAGACTCAGGCTTTGCCATTCTTCTTAATTCTTTTCCTATGACACTTATCTACATTTTTCCTTGAATTTCATTTTCACATTTTCAACTACTTGCTTGACATGTTTCTATTCTAAAATATTTGTTCCTACCCCAAATTAGACACTTCTTTTACTTTTTATATTTTTATAAGTCATCAGAACAAAACACAAGTTATCATTGTGTTATTGGTCATCCTTTCTTCTCCTATCTGCCCTTTCTTCACCATTCCCAACACTTTAATCACTCACTTCTTTCCCAGGTTATTGTGAATCCCATCTGAGTTATCTCCCTACCTCCAGACATTCCATGACAACTGATTTGATATGAAGTTTCAAGGTTAATTGAAATAGTGAAAGCTCCATTTATTTGACCCTCAGTCTTAAATTATTTAATAGTTTCTTAAAAGACCAAATTACTTAGTTTAGAAATTGGGCTTTTAATGTTTTGTTTAAATAAATTTTTCTAATCTTAACTTCCAACATCTCTTTCATATTGAGGCCCAAACCAGCCACTTGCTACTCTGTGAATGTATCCCATGTTTCCTATGCACTTTCTTGCCTATTTCTTCCTCTTTCTTTCTTATTTCCCATCACTAAAATCCTATTCCTTTGTACTAGCCATTGCAAATGCCATATCCTTTTTGAAGCCTTCACTGATAATCCTGGGGAGGTCAGAAGGACATCCTTCTGTGTTACTCCTATAGCATGAGGTTTGTACTTCTTATACTTCTTATATAGTCTTCATACTCATATCTCATAGGCTCTGTTTACTTCTGTGTCTTCCAGAACAGCAGTACCATGTGGCTTTGCACACAATTGACACTCTACAAGAGATTTCTTGCAACTCTTATACTTCTACTAACCAATATAGTTTTATAGGTTTGAGTTCTTTTTGGTCAGTTGGAATGCTATTGTACAGAGTTTGACCAGTTTCTCATTAAAAATGGTCATATAAGATCTTTACTGACTTGATTATTGTTAATTGGGGACTGACATAGATTCTATCTTTGCCCCAACTTTTGATAGGCTCTTCTGAGATCTATTTTCAGCCCAAACTTAGGCTTCCATCTCTATCCTTGTAAACTTTAGTTTTAGCAAGGATGCTACTAAGTCAATTTAGTTAGAATACCCTAGTTAAAATCTAATCATTCTGGCCTATTTTCAGCTAGAATTCTATTAGGGGAGTTTAGCAAAGAAATTATGCCACTCTCACAAAAATTTGTAATCTCTGCTCCTGGGATAGAAAGTGTTTTTGTTGTTCTTGTTGTATTTGTAAATACAAAACCCCATTATAAGCAGTCCTCTTGAATAAAATCTCCCTTTCCATCTTCAACAAGCATCTGAATAATATTTTCCTTAACAATTATTCATTGACTCAGACACATTACAGAAAGAGCAATTCTTAGTCCTATTATCCAATAGCCAATTTATTAATTTTCTTTAAAAACAATATTAAAGGGAAAAAATATCCCAATCAAAATGTATTCACTTCATGAAGATTGTTTTCCTAATGAGTTGCTTCACTTGATTACCTTTAAGATGAGTCTAGGCTGAAATTTTAAATCAGATATTTAAAAGTGCTTCATAATTTTATATACATATTCTACTTATTTATAACGAGGCCCTTCCCCCCAGATACAAATTAATTAAATATATATCTCACTTTCTAATATCTCAAGATTCATTTGAAGTAGAAATGAAAGACCATCTGTAAACAAATATCCCCCAGCAGAGGAGTCTTAATGTAACAATCATGAAGAAAATAATAACCATATTTCTATAATCAGAAACACAAATATAAGTACATGTTTTTAAAGCAGTACATTAAATAAAGATAATCTTTTTAGGTTTAGATGTCTTTCTTACTTTTCCTTGCCATGTTTAAAATAAAAAAAGGATCTATTACTTAGTTTAGAAGCAGTTAAAAGTTCTGATCTTGTCTAAATAAATTTCAAATCCCATCTTGGTTTCTGCCTATGAAGAAATGTAAGTCATGACCAACCCCACTGACCAGGCTCTAAGAGATGGCTAATGATCAATCTCCTTCTACAGTCTACGTTTTATCTTTGTTGGAACTGATTATTTTTATCAGCGTTTTCATAAAATCCATGAGTTTAATTTGGATGAAATAAATGATAATCAGGAGTAATTAGGTGAGAAATTAAGAGATCTAAAACTAAAATTTGATTAGTGACTACTGTGTGCTGGGTACTTTACATATACTTATACATTTACATACTACATGTTTCATTTATTTTCACAAACATTCTATGAAGCAGATTTTTCGATAGAACAAAGGAAGGTTATCATACTTGACCAATATGTGACAAATGTCACTGAGTTAGCCCATTTTAATTGGCCTTAAATCCTGTCTTCTATTGTGCAGTCTAACATTAAATGTTAAGATTTTGGTGGATAAATAAAATAAATAAAATCACTCCACATCAGTTTGGGAATATTTAATCTACATCAAACTAAAAATAAAATCACGCCACATCAGTTTGGGAATTTTTCATTGACAATTTTAAAAAGTAAAAACCTATTGAGAAAGACTCCTTAATCCTACCCAACTTGGCAGTAAGTTTAGTGTCTGTTGTTCTTATTTCTTTATATAAACCCTAAAGGCAAAGAGGAAAAATAAGTCTTTTAAAAAGGATTTTCTTCATAAACCACCATGCTGAAAAATTAAACAACAGTAACTTCTTTCAACAGCTGACAGCCTAGCAGGGGTCCTGTTAACATGCACATTAGGGTAGACTGATTGGTTTAATTGGCAGTCATGCCTAAAAACCTGCAGAGGAACTGATGCTGAATAAATCATTTCCTTCAGTAATATCCAGCAGTTTGAATGCAGCAATGCAACCAAAAGGCTCTTAAAGTTGTTCTATTTATTGTTGAAACCAACCCAACCAAGTGATTACTTTGATTTTATTTTCTAAATTGTGTGCCTTTACTGAAAACCATCATTTAAAAATGCTTCAAAGAAAAGATTTCTTACCAAATTTTCCCATATCTCAAACTGGAAGGAACTAGAGGCAGACAATGTTGTGAGGAATAAATCTGGAAGAAAAATAATAGAAATGTAAATTTCTGCAGTTATACTGATGTGTACATTTGAAGGCAGGAACAAATGAATACATAAAAACAATTATTAATGCAATTCTACAGAAATTTATTTTTAAAAGTTTGATTCTCTAAAGAAAAAAGGAGAGAAGAGCGGGGTGGGTAAGAAGATGATGACCTTGTATTAGTACAATTAAGGGAAATGTATTTAAAAGAAGATTTTGGTATTGGTCCTTCAAAAATTTTTTTTATTTCAAAAATAATTATTTGTAGTGTGTGTGTGTGTGTGTGTGTGTGTGTGTGTGTGTGTGCGCGCGCGCGCGCACGCGCAAGACTGCGTGTGTGGTGCTGGATATTTAACTCAGGGTCTCAATGCTAGGCAAGTGTTCTATCACTGAACTATATCCTTAGCCTCACAAAATATATATTTTAAATAATCTTTCTTGTTTTTCAAAGTATGAGGTGATATTATGATCATAATCACATTTTACATTTGTACCCTAAAAGCAACACTTGTCTATGTCATAGGCAGGTTTCAGCATCATTTTAAATAGGCATCTCAGCATCTAGAATTTTTAGCACTCATACTAAATGAGCAATATATTATTTCAAATTTTAAGTATTAGAAAAATTGTCTTCATGAATTCCAAGTAAAGAAAGTATGGTTTATTGGAAAGTGTAAGAATTTCAATAAAACATCTTTAAAAAACAAGGTTGACAGTCGAATCAAATATCCTAATGCAAAGGCCAGTTGTTCCCTACATCGCTTCTAGTATTGTCATTTAGTATAATGTTTGCATAATGGCAATTAGTGATCATTAAAGGTTTTAAACTTATGAAGGGACTCACAGCCATATTATAATGATATAACTTTTTTTATGATTTAAATAATGGGGCTGGGGATGTGGCTCAGTGATAGAGCACTTGCCTAGCATGTGAGGCACTGTGTTCAATTCTCAGCACCACATAAAAATGAATAAATACAGGTATTATGTCCCTTAACTACCAAAAAATTTAAAAAATCCATTTTAAAAAATGGATTTAAATGACTTCTTAATCATTCATAGTAATGTGAAGACCATGACTATTCCAAATTTATTTTCCTTACATTAAGTATGCTTAGTAAAACTGATTCACATTTAAATGTTCTGTGTAATGTTTTATACAAATTTAAGAAGTAAATTTATGTTATTATAATTATGAAGATTTACATAGAATCCCCCAAAAGCTAAGTAATTTTTTCATTTTTATAATTAATAAACTTGGAAACTCCCAATTCCAGAGACAATCATTCATATGTGCTCATATCGAATATCTCTGCATTCATTTCCACTACTCTGGGTATGCTCTGCCTTTGGATACAGAATTATAGTCTTTTATAAAGATGACAGGTTTCATTAGTGTCATACATGTACTCCCAATGAAATGTTTACTTCCTTATTCATCTCGGAAAATCTCAAGTATAATCTGAGACTTGTAAGATGATATACCTATACCAGTTCCTCTCATTCTAAAGATTCTCCACATTGCCCTCAAATTATTTACAAGCAAAAGAACGAATTAGATCACACTCATTTTCTTCAGAACTAGGGCAGCAAACCCTTCATACTGTGTGTCAGATGAAGACTATGTTATCTATGTTTACAGGCACATTTCCTATTACTCCTCTACATGAAGGGTGTATTCCAGATAGAACAAAGTTGTCACTAGATTTTATCATATTCTTTCACATATATTTGCCTCTGTACATGCCATTCCTTTTTTTCCACATTGCCCTTCTACCTCATAGCCACCATGTGAATTAATTATTTAAAATAGGCTTAAATGTCTCCTTCTTTTTGCAGACTTTAACTCTCCCTAAGCATATCCCCATTGTTATTCCACTGTGGTGCCTCCCATCACAGTGATGATTATTATAATGTACTATGACATTCTGGCTTCACATTTGTCCTTCTGTAGCTTCTTGAGGCTACAAGTTTTGTTTAATTGATTTTTATGTTTGTAGCTTCTCTGTGGTTGGAAGTAGTATGTGTTCAAGTGATTATAGAATAATTAAGAGAGGCAATATTTTATATATATATATATATATATATAAACACATACTACTTACACTTATATTTGGTGCAGGTCACACAAATTTGCTTGAAAAAAGGAGGGCTCTGTGTTAAATAATTTTATTAAAAATAAGTATGACTGACCATAGGAACTATTAATGAAATAATGTTTAAAAGCTATTATAGATTTTTTAATTATCTAAAAATGTAGATAGTTAGCATAAGAAAGTGATTAGGGATTAACAGTCCAGAGATTTTTTTTTAGTGGTTCTCAGAATCACTAAAGAAGTCATGTCAATGTAAGTCCTGAGCTATGTGTAAATAAAACCAAGAACAGGGGCAATTACTTTGTTCTATAATAATTCAACACAGGCTGCATTTGTTCAAATTGAATATATCAAACTCTTATCCTGTTTAAGGCAGTTAGCTTCACAGGATTAGATCTATTCTGTTATCACACAAGGCTAAGCAGGCACAGTTAGAGCGAGTGGTGAATGAGTACTAGGAATCTATTGCTATTCCTAGAAAAACAATTCAACAATTTTTTTCTATTGGTATTGTATTCGTCTCAATATATGTTAAGGGTTGGAAATATGGTGTCCCCACCAAGGTCCTGTTAAGGCAGAAATATTCAGAGGTGAAATGATTAGACTATGAAAACTATAAAATAACAAACTATCCTAGTCTGAATGGAGTGACTGGGTGATGGACTGTAAGCAGGGGTCATGGCTGAATGGCTGGAGGAAGAGGGTCATTGGATTGTGCCCTGGAAGGGTTAGTCTTCTTGCTGCCCCTTCCTCTCCATTCTCCCCAACCCCCAACTTCCTTTCTGCTATAAGGGGAATAGCTTTCCCATGCTGGACACAACCTCCATGATGTACTGACTCATCATGGGCCCAGAGCAAAGGAATCTACCACCTATGGACTGAGACCTCTGAAACAGTGAACCACAAATAAACTTTTTCTTCTCTAAGTTGTTCTGATAGGGTATTTGGTCACAATGACCCAAAAGCTAACTAAAGTAATATATGTATGCATAAAAGATGGTAAATTATGAGCTTCTTGTTGTTTTATGCATATTTAGAAAATTTAAGAACTCTATTAACACAATGTTGATTCTATTTTCATAGTTTTGCTAGCTATTTATTAAAACTATGAGAATCACTTATAATAAATGATGAATTGAAAACACCCAGTAAAATAGATTCACTATTCAATTATGTAAAGAGGTTATAGAAATATGAATGATTCATTACACAGAGAAATAAAAATAGAGACAATTATTAATAATTCATTATGAAGAATCATGCTTCAGACTTCGAACAAAATGAGAATGAAATAACTGCTAGAGAAAAATTTTAGTCAACAATGTAATAACATTCTCACCCACATGGCTAAGAGTAATTCATACAACAAAATTAAAGGAAATGACATTCTACCCAGAGCACTAATTAGGAATAAAGGACTTAATTCTCTTGGCTTTTGGAAGTAGTAGACAGCCCTAAGTAGTCTGTGCTCTCTGGAGCAGCTTTTGGGGAGATCATATCCAAAACTCGGGACAACTCTGCAGGGTCATTCCACTTTTCAGAGCTCCCCTGGAATTGAAATTTTGTGCACTGACTCATTCAAAGTCCAACTCTGTCTGCTTCCTTCCATTCCTGCCCACTGGTGTTGATTATAAGGATATACCTGAATATGAAACTTTTGCATATGAATCTCAGTTTTAGAACCTGTTTCCCAAGGAACCCAAACAATGACACTTGGTATCAATGATCTAAGGAAGCAGGCACCAAGATAAGATTTTAAATCACATGTAACAAGAAACTGACAATAAGGATTCCTTCACTGGGCTGCTTCCAGTGGTACTTGCCTCTACAGGGCCTGAGAATGGGTCTACTCTGGTCCTTACTTCAGAGCCCCTGCTAACCCCATAGCCACCAGAGGCCTCCAGTGTAAGTCGCATTCACCCGAGTGGAGTCTCAGGACATGTTTATCATGTACTACAACACCACAAACATTACTGCTGTTGCTAGAAGCCCCTACAACCAGTGGTACTTGCTCTTATAGGTTCTATGGACACATCTCCCCATCTCCATGCTCCTGATGCCTCTGCTATAGGAGTTCCCATGAAGTGGGTGCCCCAGTTTGCACCACACATGGGACACTAAAGTGCCCCTACTCCTATTGCAGCCGTTAGGCAGAGGCAGGCTCTCTGACCCTGGTAAGCATCCTGACTAAAACCACCAATTACAGCTGAACAAGCTATAGAGAGACTAATACTATGGTGCCTAGTTGGGAATTAAGCCAAAGCTACCCAACAAACTAACACCCTAATAACACATTTTAAAGAGAAAATTTTCTACTGTGAAAATCACCTTATTTAGTTGGTAAGGATAATTGTTTTGGCAGATGGACAAATATCATTGAAATGAAAGAAACAGTATAAAAACATAAATTCATTCACCAAGATCAAGTGGGATTTATCCCAGGAATGCAAGGATGTTTCTATATATATGTCAAGAAACTAAAATATCACACCAACAGAATGAAGGACAAAACTCTCAAGAGATGCAGAAAAAACATTTTATAAAAATTCAAGAATGCTTCATAATGAAATTTTGAACCAATTAGGTATAGAGGAATCTACTTTAACATAATAATGGCTGTATAAAACAAACCACATTCAACATAAAAGCAAACAGGGAAAAGCTGAAAGCATTTTATTTAAGATACAAAACAAGACAAGGATGTTCACTTTTACCATTCTTGTTCAATATACTGTTGAAAGTATTAGAGTAATTAGGCAGGAGACCTAAATAAAAGGCACATGTAAAATGTATACACACACTTGTGTGGGTGCGTGCGTGTGTGTATAGAGAGAGAGCAAAATTACCAGATAAAAAAACCCCCAAACACTAAAATCAGTAGCTTGTCTTTTTACAC